AGTGGGATCACAAAGAGTTGGACCCAACGAAAATGACTGAACAACAACAAACTCAGATGGAAAGGGGAGGAGGACACAACCATACGTAAGGATCCCTACAGTGGCAAACTGTATATTAAACCACACATTCACTGCATTTTATTTTTTAAAATTTATTTTGTCAAACATTTCTTAATTGTATTTTTAAAAATAAGTTTTTATTGGTATTTTCTGTTTCTTTTATCACCATAGTATCCCACGTATCTGTCCTGTTCCTGAGAGCCGTCTCTTATGATAAATAGTTTTTCTTTAGAGAGCAAGAAAAAAATTTCAACTAATTATTATGTTGAAAAAGTCCAAAAACATACAGTGTGTAACACTTGTGGACCTCCCACTTATGTGAAGTAGTAGGTTGGGGGGGTATCTTCTTATGTCTCTTCATTTGAATCCTACTTGATTATTTAATCTTGATTTTTTGGGTGTATGGTGCTTTGCATTTACATTGTTGTAGTTACTATGTCCATTGTTTTCTTGGCTTGACTTCACTTTGCATCAGTTTATATAACTCTTTGCATGCTTTTCTTTATTCCTCACATAGATCATTTCTTACAGCAGTAATCTTCCATTACAGTCACGTGCCACAATTTGTTTAGCCATTCCCCAGTTAATGGACATCTACTTTGTTTATAATTCTCAGATACCAAAAAAGTGTTACTATAAATATTTACAAGTTTATGAGGATTTTTTTTTATTATTGATGACTTCCTTAGAGTTTAAACCCAGTAATTGAATCTCTGGCTCAAAGCGTATGGACGCACTTTCTTTGCAGAATTCCACATTGATTTCCAAAATGGTTGTACCACTTCTTAGCTCCACCAGTAATGTATAAGTGTATCTGTCTTCTCACAATACCTCCAACAAATGACTGTTGCCATTTTTTTTTATCATTTTTGCCAGTTTGAGGTGTGAGGTAAGATCACAGTTGTTTTGATTTGCGTCTCCCTTTTTAGTGATTTGAAGCATTTTTTTATGAGGTTGTGAGTGAGTACTTTGCAGTTTCTTTTTTGACAGCTATTCATATCCTTTGACCATTCGTTTATCTTTTGTGGCAATGGCTGTGTGTGTGTGTGTGTGTGTGTGTGTGTGTGTAATATCTTGGCTGCCAAACACATCAGAGAAATTTGATATAAAGTTTTCCCCTTTTCTACCACTTCCCTTCTTATGCTAGGTGCATTAATGCTGTCTCTGCAGAAGCTTTTCAGTTTGAAGTAATCACATTTATCTATTTTGTAATTGTCCCTATCTCTTATTTGTTTAAGGAATGTCTGTCAGTTGTGAGAAGAACTTTTTCTCTTCTAATTTTTAAAAATAGTATGACCTTTAATATTAATATCATGTATCCATTTAGAATGTATGTAGAGTGTGGTGTAAGGTATTGGTTGAAACCTAATTTCTGCCATGTTACTTTCCAGTTTTCCCAGCAGTTTTTATCAAATAGGGAGTTTTTCCCTGAGTAACTTATTTTTCTACTTTATCAGACTCTGGGTTATTGAGTTTTATTATTCTGAATCTCCCTTGTCTAGTCTCTCTATTTTTTAACCAAATAGCAGTTGGCTTTGATGACTGCTGTTTTATAATATAGTTTGAGGTCTAGAAGGGCTATTCCTCTTTCATCTGTATTTCTTTTTATCATTTCCATTGATAATCTAGAGTGTTTTTCCAAATGAACTTTACTATTTTATCAAGCTCTGGAAAGCTTGGTAATTTGGTATAGTCTTAAAAGTATAAATTAATTTTGCTGGTACTGTCATTTTTGTTATATTGGCATGGCCTAGCCAAGAGTTCTGAATATTCCACCAGCTATTGAGGTTGTTTTTTAATTCTTTAAGGAGCATTCTGTAATTTAACCTATACGGTCTTTTATGTACTTTGAGGGGCAAGTTTCCAGATATTTTGTGCCTTTTGTAGTTATTTGCAATGGGATTTTCCTTTTATTGCTTCTTATGTTTTGTTAGTATTATGTAGAAATGCTGTTGATTTGGGGGGATTTATTTTGTAGCCTGCAATTTTGCTGAGTCTATTAATTGTCTCAGTATCCTTGCTGATTCCCTGGGGTTTTCTAATAAGCCGTCATATCATCAACAAACAAGGATAATTTCATCTCCTCTTTACTTCCTTTGCTTATTTTCTCTTGTCCTACTGCTATTGCTAGCGTTTCTAGAACTATATAAAATAATAGGGAGAGAGTGGGCATCAGTGCTTCACTCCCATATTTATTGGAAAAGGTTCTAGTACATATCCCCATTGCATGTGATGCGTGCTTTTGGTTTTCAATGGATGCTTTTTTAATAACATTTAAAAAAAACCCAACCAGTTCTGACTACGCCTATACTTTGTAGGTATTTTAGCATTGATGGGTGTTGTATTTGTCAGAGTCTTTTTCTGCATTTGTTGAGATGATCATGTGGTTTTGGATGTTTTGATTTTTAATGTAGTTAATTATATTGATTTTTTTTCCTGATGTTGAACCATCTTATATCCCTGGCATGAATCTTACTTTATCATAATGAATGGTTTCTTGGACAAATTGCTGTAATCTGTTTGATAGGATTTTGTTTAAAATTATTGTTTTAATGTTCATTAATGATATTGGTATATAGGGTTTTTTTCTATTCTATCTTTTCCTGGTTTTGGTTTTGGACTATGTTTGTCTTATAAAAGGATTCTGGTAGGGTTCTTTCTCATATTGTGAGAATAATTTGTAAAGTATGGGTACTAACTGTTCTTTAAAGTTTGATAGAATTCTTTCATGAATCGGTCAGGTCCAGGAGTTTTGTTTTGTTTGTTTTCTTCTCCTTTGGTAGTTCCTTTACCGCCAGATCTATTTCCTTTCTGAGGTTATGTAAGATCTCTATCTGGTCTTCGGAAATGCCAGGAGCAGAACAGAGTTTTGTATACAGCATTCCTCAGTCTGACCAAGGCCTTTGATGCTGTCCGTCTTAAGGACTTAGTGGAAAATCATGGCAAAATTTGGTTGCCCTGAGAAGTTCATCAGTATTGTATGCCAGTTGAACGACAGCATGCTTGTATGGGTTCTGGATAATGTACAGTTCTCTTGAGCTTTCCCAGGCACTAATGTAGTGAAGCAGGGATGTGTATTGCTCCCATGCTTTTTAGCATGATGTTTTCAGCAATATCGTCAGACATCTTCAATGAGGATGAAAATGGTGTCAGGACCAGCTACTGCACTGACGGTAAATTACTGAAGTTGAAAAGGCTATAAGCCAAGACTGAAGGGGAGGGAGAATTGGTGCATGATTTTCTGTTCACAGGTGTTTCTGTGCTCCGTGCAACCTGTATGGCTGAGATGCAGCAGTGTTGTGTAGATCGATTCTCTGCCACATGTGCTAATTTTGGCCTAACAACATAGGTTTTCCACCAGCCACCAGCACCTCATCCGTGCCTGAAACCATTGGTTACAGCAAATGGAGAAATTTTGAATACTGTGGCTAAGTTCACTTACCTTGGCAATGTAGATGATGAGGTTGGCTCCTATATTACCAGAGCTAGCTCAGTGTTTGGGAGGCTTCAAAGGAAAGTGTGGGGGACATAAGAGGTATTAGACTGCCCTACCAGATTGATGGTACAGAGCTGTTGTGCTGACTTCATTGTTGTATGCCTGTGAAACCTGGCCAGTATATCAGAGTCATGCCAGGAAACTGAATCGCTTCCATTTGAATTGTCTTAGGAAGATTCTGAAAATCACCTGGTAAGGTACCAGACCCTGTGGTCCTTTCTCAAGCTGGAAGATCAGACATTCAAATTGTATTACAGAGAGTGCAACTCTGATGGGCTGGCTATGTTGTTCAAATGCCAAATGTCCCTTTACCTAAAAGACTATTTTGTAGAGAACTCACATAAGGCACGTATTCACATGGAAGTCAGAAGTGATACATCTCATCCAAGAACACTCTCAAGGTTTCTCTGAAGAACTTTGGAATCAATTAGGAGACATGGGAAACACTGGCACATTACCACCCAACGTGGTATGCTCACATCAAAGAAGGCGCTGTGCTCTCTGAGCAGAGCAGAATTTCAGTAGCTCAAAGGAAATGTGAAATGCACAAATTTAGAGACGTTTCTGCTCCAAATGTCCATATAGACTATTTGTGCCTGCCTGTGGTAGAGCCTCCGAGGCTCATATTGGTCTGATAAGCCACAGTTTGAGACACTGTACCTTGAGCCCAGTGTAGTGATGTTATTTTGGTCCTTTTCAAGAGCGAAGGACGACAACCAGTCTGGTCTTCTTATAGTTTGAATATTTAATGTTGTTGAAGTTATTCCTCTATGTCTTTTATGTTCTCAGTTTTGTTAGCATATAACTGTGCATAACATGTTCTGACTATTCTCTTTATTTCTTCTCGTTTTGTTGTAATTTCAGCTTGCTCATTTGCTATTCTAGTGATCTGATTTTCTGCTTTCTTCTTTTTAGTCAGATTAGCTAGGGTTTATCAATTAGTCTTTTTCAAAGAACGAGCTTTTAGTTTTACTTATTGTTATTATGATTTTTGTTTCTAATTTATTTCCCCTCTAATTTTTGATATCCCCTGTTTTGTGCTTATTTGTATATTTCTCGATTTTTTTCCAACTTTTAAAAAACACAATCAGTTCATTAACCTTTCTCTTTTTTCTATTTTGTTAACATATGATTGTAAAGATATGATTTTCTCCCTTATGGAATGCTTTAGCAGAATCCTAGAAATTTTGGTAGGTTGTTTCATCATTATAATTTTATTTTACATAAATGTTGATTATTCCCGTGATTTCTTCTTTAACTTACTCATTATTTAAGATTTCATTGTTAAGTCTCTATTTGGGTTTATATCTTTTGTTTGTGGTCCCTGAACCAATTTCCATTTTTATTACATTATGGTTTGTAAAGGATGTATTCACTATTTCTGGCTTTTTACATTTGGCTAAAATATCTTCATACCCTATTACATTTTCAGTTTTTGTGAAAGTCCCAGGTGGTGCAGAGAAATATGGATATTCTTTTGCTGTCCATTAGAAGACTCTGTAAGTTTTTTCACTCTACTTTCTTCAGAAATTTGTTCAGTTTCATATTTTCCCTTTTGTTTATCTTATCCAAAACTGAGAGAGAGAGATTGAAGTCTCCTGTCACTATTGTGTTAACAGTCTGTGTTTTCTTGGAGTTCAGATAATGTTTCCTTTAAGAATTTGGATGTTGAGGCATTTGGAGATATAAGTTTATTTTTGACATTGGTTTGCTGTCTATGGTTTCTGTCAACATAATATAGTTTCCTTGCAAATCCTTTTTAAAAAATTTCTTGAATGTTTGTTTTTGCTTTGTCTGATAGAATGATGGTAAATTCTACTTTTTTGGATTCACTTGGTGTATAAGAGATTTTTTTCCCCACTCCCTCAGTTTTATTTTGTGTGTGTCTTTGTTTTTTAAATGTGTTTCTTTGTTTTTGTTGAGTTGTCTCCAGTGCTTTGTATCCCCATTTGGAGTTTTCTTGGCAAACATACTAGAGTGGTTTGCCATTTCCTTCTCCAGCTCATTTTACAAATGAGAAACTGAGGCCAAACAGAATTAAGTGACTTGCCCAGGGTCACACACTGGTATCTGAGACCAGATTTAAACTCGGGTCCTCCTGAATCCAGGCTTGGCACTCTATCCACTGAGCCATGTAGCTGCCCCTAATGTGTTTCTAGTAAGCAACAGATTGTAGGGTTTTGTTTTCTTAGCTAATCTGTCGCTCTTTTTCATTTTATTAGCTTGTTTAATCCATTCATATTTAAAGTTATGAGTTAGGTTCATATTTTCCTCTGTCTCTAAAATTATGTTTTTTTCAAGTTATGATTCTCTCCCTACCCCCTTTTGTTGCAAAACCCAGTATTATGTTCCTTCAGTTGCTTTACTTCAGTCTTTTTTTAAGGTGGCCCTGTTCCCACTGGCTCTCTTACCCTCACCCGTGGTCCCCTTTTTTTGTTTGTTACCTGCTTCTCTTTAGTGTATTAATTCCTCTTTCCTGCTTTCATCTGATTATATATTTCTTTTTTCTTCTTTTTTTTTCCCCACCCAATAGTCAGGTAGACTCCCTTTTCCTCTTTTCTCCTTAAGCTAGTCCTGTTTGTTAGTTTTTTAATTTTATTTTTTGTACCCTTTTCCAAAAAGGATTTCTTCATTCTCTTCACTGTCTGTTTTCTCACCTTGTTTATTCTAGACCCTGATTCTCTGACTCATAACCCTGGTAATCATCTGGTCTTTCTCTTTTCCCTTTATTCTTCACACAGTTAACACTTTCAAGGTATGCATTCTAGGCTCTGCCATCTAGGTACTTTCTGCCACTGCTGATTAGGGCTTACCCCACGGATTCTGCCTTTCCATTGTGCCTCACTTTCAGAACAGTGTCAGTTATTGCAGGTATCAGAAAGGACATAACCCCACAGTAGGGCACTCTCTCCCCTAGCTATGTCCTCTTTTGTTGATTTTTTCCCCCCTTACATTTGCCCAGTGATCTCCTCCCTGTGTCCATGTATTCCTGTTCCTCTAGGTGATAGTTACCCTCAAGGGTTCCAAGTCCCCCTCCCCCTAAAGCAAGTAGACTTTTCAGGCTCCAAATCCCCCAGGCCTCATCCAGTGTAAGATCCTCATCTACTTTCACCCACAGGAGCAGTCGTCTGTGGAACTCCCTCCTGCCTCCAAAATAAGGTCTCCTTCCTTTCCTCCATTTTTCAGTTTTTCTGTCTTCCTCCTCACCCACTTCCCTGTAAACTCATCTCTTTCTGAGATCACAGATGTCACCTTCCTCTCGTTGGTATCCCTTGATTTGACCCCAGAACATCACTGTTTTCTGTTTCCTTGGTCCGCTGTCCACCTTTCACATACCCTCCCATGTTGTAATTCAGTCCCACCAAAAACAAAACAAAACAATTTACCTGTAGATAGTGTGTCATCAAGTTCTGTTCATAATGCTGCCTCTTCATTGGTACCTCTACCAGATTTCCACATTCACCCTGTGTCCTCATGTGCATCTAGAAAGAAGTCCCTTACTACTCTTTCTGTTGTCATTCTGTTGCTGTTGCTGTCTGTATTTCTTTACTCCTACAATTCTGTTTTTTGAGTTTTCAAGAAGTAAATAGTCTCTTCAGTTCTGGTTTCCTTTCTAAAAATCTTTCAAACTCTTCCTTATTATTGAATGTCCATCTTTTGTTTTGTATATAGTTAAGCTCAGATTTGCAAGATAGGTCACCCTGGGCTGTAGCCTGAGCTCCATTGCTTTTCAGAATGCAGTATTCCATTCCATCCTCCTTTTTCTAGTGAATATGAAATAGTCTTGCATTATTCAAATGTCCTTTCCTTTGTATTTGAAGGTCTTTCTCCTGATGGCTTGCAGAATTTGTTTCTGAATTGAATTGTTAAATTTAACCACTATGTGTCTTGGAGTTTACAGCCTTTTTCTGGAGGCAATCTGAATTTCTTTCAACTGGAATTTAATTTTCTACATTCAAAAGTTCTGAGCAGTTTTATTCTATTATTTCCTTCATTGTGGCAGTAAGGTTTTTTTGTCTTGTCATGTTCTTCTGGGACACCTATGATCTTTAAGTTGTTTCTTGCCTTCAAGATACGTATGTTTTGCTTGCATCATAAGGATATTTTATTTTAATGCTCTTGTTTTTTGTTTCTCTTTTTCTAGGTTGACTTTCACTTCTGTGTATTTGCATTCCCAGTCTGTTGTTCTCTGCTTTCTTTTGTGAGGCTTGGCATTGCAGATTTGTTTTTCTATTTTAACTCATTATTTTTGTTGTGCAGGCCATAAATTGTGCTCTTATAACTCTCATTTTTCTTTTAAACCACTCAGGAACAGTATGTTGTGGTTCCATGTTCTGAAATTCCACAGGATTCTCAGTCTCATCAAATGTTGGATCATTTTACTTCATTTTGCAGTATTTATTCATACGTACCTCATCTCGTTTACTAGATCTAGAGGCCATGTTTCCTTCTGTTGTTATTGTTTTTCCTGTTGATTTATCTGTTTATATTCAAGGTCTTTGAGATTTCTTCTTCCTGGAATATTTGGTATGTTCAGTCTCTGTCTCCTCCATTCCCCCCCAATTTCACTTATTGCTCACTTCTGACTCCCTCCCCTCCTCTGATTATGGTTTTCTTAGGGGCTGGATTTCAATGTGTCTCAGCTTCTTCCCACACTGGGCAGTTCATTGTTCACCAGTCTAGGTCTCTACCCCAACTAATTTTTAGGTAGTCAGAATTGGCCCCACCTGGATGCTTCACCCTTCCCTCAGGCTTGGTGGAATACTCTACAGTTCCCTCCATGCACAGCATCCTGTCCTGGTGACCTGTCTCACTCTCTGTTCCTTAGAGTAGTTCAGAGCCTGCTTTCCCTGGTGTTGGCAGAACCTGCTTCCCTCACCCATTCCCCCTTCCCCCAGTTCATTTCAGAGCTTTATAGCCTTGTTGCTTCCTGGTTGCAGCCTCTGGCAGGCTTTTGTTCCTGAAGAGCTGTGATCATGCTGGCTGTTGAGGTCCAGAGAAACTTCCATAGTCTGGAGCCAGAGTTGCTATGGCACTAGAAAAAGGGAGGAGGGACCATGGTATTGAGGCGGATTTTGATATAAACCTGTGTTGTGTCCCTGGGTCTGCTAATGCAACCTCACTTCCAGTAGCATAGTAAGTAGGAGAGGAGTGCTGAATGAACTCAGGGTCAGTGAGCATCTGTAACTTTCTTTTGGATTCTGGGTGTCCTAGACCATGGAAATAGCTGAAGTTACTTTATCTTTAGCATATAATTTCTGTTTTGGAGAGATTTAAGAGGTTATGGGGATCAGAGAAAATATCTAGACTGCCATCTTATTGCTCATGTGACCCCAATTCCATTTTAATCTGATTTGGACTTTAGGGAGTATTGCCCTGATGTTTGTCACATCTATATTCTATCACAGTGCTTTTCAGTTAAACCAATTCATCCTGGGAACATTTATTTATGAAATTAAGACAACAAATAGGTGTAAATTGGAATAGATCTGCCAATGTTTCTGTAACTATCCTCATTATTGGCAATGGAACCACCATATTTGAACTCAACATTTTGGTACTGGTGTGCTATGTGAGAACATAAAAATGGCATTCAAGAAAATGAGAAAGCATGTCTAGACTTAATTAAATCCAAGTTGTCCCAAAAGGCTTAGTGTACTAAGTCTTTTAGGACATCCTGTACAAAGGAAATCTATCATAAAAGGGACAGTCAATAAGCATTGATGCAATTTTAAAGACCCTCAGATGGATTTTTAAAGGCATATCAAAGGAAAATTTTTCAAAAGAGTGGAAATGCTTATGAACAATACAAATTCCCAAAACAGACACAAGAAGGCATTAGTAACTACCAACCCATATACCTTTGTCATTTCTATACAATCTTTTTTGAGAATGAACTGTGTAGGGGCAGCTAGGTAGTACAGTGGATAGAGCACTGGCCCTGAAGTCAGGAGGACCTGAGTTCAAATCCAGCCTCAGACCAAACACTTAACACTTACTAGTTGTGTGATCCTGGGGCAAGTAACTTAACCCCAGTTGCCTAAAATTTAAAAGAGAGAGAGAGAGAGAGAGAGAGAGAGAGAGAGAGAGAGAATGAACTGTGTGTAGACATTGAAGGTATTCTGGAAAATTTGAAAAGGAAACAGCAGGCAGACTTTGACCACTTATTAAACAGCATTGTGATTCTATTGGCACTCCAGTTAACATACCCAATTTACTCATGAAAGTAAATACAAGTGTGAATATATTTCTCCTATGTTTTCCTTATTGAACTTTCATTTAAGGCTATTTTTTTTTCCTATCAGAAACCATGGTCCCTAATTTTTGTGAGAGGTTTGTGTCTTCAACACAACCAATTGTCAGATTAAATATAAAATCTTGATTGTAGGCTTGAGTACAGCCAGAGTATAGTGAGTTTTCTTTCAGTTAAGCAGTTGGGTTACAGAAGTGAGATAATGTGATTATTAGAAAAATAGGCATCTTCCTACTCTGGCTTATCTAGCATCCATCCTAAAACGAGAAGTGACTGTTTCTGATATAAAAGACTATGAAATTAGTATTTTACAAGCTTTATGAGATCCAGAACATGCCTTAATATTTAATATCTAGTCTAGGGTTGGCGAACATGTGGCCTCAAGGCCACATGTAGCCCTCTAGGTCCTCAAGTGTGGCCCTTTGACTAAATCCAAACTAAGCTGTGGCCCGACTTAATTTTGGATAATAACAGACGTCTAGAGGTGAAGTTCCTTGAATCCGTAAGATTTTGAGATGGCATTCAGAAAGGACTGCAAAATTCATTATTATTCCTTACTTGTCTGAAAGACTCAACATCAATAGAAATATGAAAATGAGTCCCCAAACCTTACAGGTGTTTCTCAACTTACATTACCAGAGTAACTATACAGCTAAGTTAACTCAACGGACTTATGATTCTTTGCTTCATATAGAAAGTCATTCTAGACCTATCATGATTTTCACTTTGCTTGGGGTCTGCTTTCATACCCCCTGCAAAGATCTATTTCCCCCATTGAAGCTGGTTACTTCCTGAACTCAGTAGAAAAGATTCAGACAGCCCATTATCCTAGCTCGGCTAGAGTTACACTTGATGAAGAAGCATTCTTTTCAATTGCAGAGCAGTCAGAAATGCCTGAAATGGACTTCTTAAATGGGGTTTTAGCAAGAATTTCACCAACTGCTTCCTGATTCTCTATCTTTGTTTCAAGAGGACATTTTCAGGCACAATAGCCCTGGACTAAATTTCATGCTCTTTTCTTCATTACCTTCCCAATTTGGGATTTTCTTTTCCAACTATTTCTAACATTTATATTTTAATTAAAATTGTTACTCTGTCTTTGGCAACCAGTGTTTTCACCAGCCCTTCCCTTTCTTACCTGTGTCATTTAATGATGTCCCTATTAACAATAGGTATTGATTACCTGAAAAAAAGATTCCTTAAAAACCCTTTCCAGTTCTGACATCGTATGGCTTTTGATTTTAAGCAATTTGCAAATGCTTACAAATTCTAATTCTTAGATGGTTTCTAAGCTGGATAACTTAGTTGTGTTTAGGAATTGGTTCTGTGTCCCCATGGTCATTTGTATGGCCCTGGAAGATCTTAAAAAATAACCTGTAGGTAGGCATATGGTATAGAGGCAGAATAGTTCGTAGTGCCTGTAAATTAAGTTAGCAGGATCTGAGTACTGATGCTAAAAGTGTGATCCTGGGCAAGTTATTTAATCTCCGTCATCCTCAGGCTACAGAAGTCTGAGACTTAAGTAAATCATAGATGGATCCATCCATCTGCAATAGTTCTGCCTGGGTAAAGGAAGCTCCTAATGCTGAAGCAATAAAAGCTTCTTTTCTTCCTTTATATGTGTGGCAATAATGATAACACACATTTATGTGGAAAGCAGTTTCTTTTGTAATAGTTGCATTGGTATTCAAAAGTACATGTGACCTAGGTGTGTACACATCTGCACATGGGGTCTTTTGTACAGATGGGACCTGGCCCTCCCTTTTCTAATTTACTGGTTTCCCAAGCTTTGTTTGACTGAGTTCTCAAAATTCATTTTTAATGCTTTCCCAAGCACTTAGCCTTCTGTGTTATTAATGGGCAGATCTCGCTGCAATTTTTCCACCTACAAGAGAAGTAGGCTAATGGGTAAGCATCCATCCTGAATCTCCACTTCCCCTTCAGCAGAGAGTTGATTAGAACAAATTTGTGTAGTACATACACCCTTAACTCTCTATTGTGTCAATTTCTCATTAGGAGATTTAAAATGACACTTGGCTTTGTGAGTGGCTGAGAACATTGTGAAATCTGTTCTGGAGGCCTTTAAAAAGAGGACAGCTTCTCATTCCTTTGTAATGGCTTAAGGGTAAAGGGAGAGGGATGGATTAGCTGACCTGTCAGATGTTGGTAACAACCATGGGATTTTGTGGGTTACTCAAAGTGGTGGTCCAAGTCAGTGAGCAGCAGATTGGAGATGTACTGCATCTGATCTACGTTCCCTTTAAGAGCCAACATCTTTTGGGAGTATTTCCCTGAATCTTTTCCAAGGAGAAAGAAAGCAGTAGTTGAAACCACTAGCAAGCTATTTTTGTGGCTTATTACCTGTTACTTTGTTTACATAGATACATTAGTGATAAATTCCCAATAAAGTATAATTTTCCTCTCATTGTAGGAAGTACTGGCCAGACTCCAACTTCTGAAGTCTTTCTCAAAAGGATCACAAGACTCTGATCAAATCCTATTCAGGTAGCATTCCCCATAGTCATCTTTTAGAATCCCCTAAGGGAAGTATGGGAGGAGGAAGGAGATTAGAATGGTTGAGGAGGACACCAGAGGAAATGAAGTGTGTTTGTGAAGAAAGGATAACTGAGGGGGGAAGTGTAGAAAATCTGTTCCTTTTGTTCTCCCTTATGTTTTAATCCTTCAAATTCACAGTAAAAGGTTGCCAGCTAATTGCTAGGAGTCTCCATACCAGAGAGGATTGGCCTAAATTTAAGAACAAATCTGTGGGAAAGTAAGGATTTTTCCTTCATTTTTTATTTAAACATGATTAGAAGTGTCTTAGAAGTGGTTGGGTACTCTTGGAGTTTTGCTCCCTGCCCCCACCTTCCCCTAAATTCCAAAGACTTTTCCTCCACAGTAGCACTTATGCAACAGAGTGTGGTGAATGGAATTCACTGAACTGTAGATTAAAAAAAAAAGACTTTAATGTGTTTTATGGTGGTTTTTAATACAGATGACTCACTACTAGACTCCTGCAAGTATATTGGCCTTTTTAAAGTGAAATCCAATATGTCAGGGGGAGAGATTTAAATTATAAGAAAACAGACACTGTATTTAGGGACAAATGATTCTGTTTCTACCCTATTGCCTATCTGGATCATTCCTTGACGATTTCCAAATATTACCTGATCCATTCAAAGGGAGTATACTGAAGTTTCATTAACTACAACAAATTTTAATAGCACCATGGATACTTTTACCGCCTTTTATTTATGGGTTGGTGTAGTTTATTAGAGGGAAAGGTAAACAAATGTGTTTTGCAAAAATATGTACTGTAAGCCAATTCCAGTAGCAGTCAAATTAAGTTTTTTTTTTCAACTAGATGATGAAGCATTTATACAAGTAGTTTATTAGTGGCCTTCCCATTAAAAAAACAAAAAGGCAAAACCAAAAAAAAACCCCAACAGTTTTTAGCTGTTCAAGGCCAAATGAAGGTCACAAGTTTATCCAAGCTAGTCCCTTTCAGGCACTGCTTTGATGACTGCCAAAGAGAAAAGCCAAGAAACCTTCCTAACACCTTTTATTCCCACATACTCCTTGGCTTTGCCTCAGTTCTGAATCTTTATTCCTGTTCCCCTTCTTGGAAAGAGTTACAGATGAAATGTTGATGATGTTAAACTTACCTATGGTAGAAGCTAAAAAAGACTCTAATGTTTTTTTTTTAACAGTTCCTATGTTGCTTGAAAAGACAAAAAAAAAAAAAAAGGAAAAGAAAAGCCCAGCACAAATGAATGATCCAGTCTCTTGAAAATGATTTTACATAGTTCCCTTTGAGGGTTTTATTTTTCTTCCAAGCATCTCATAACTTTCATTTAGTAAAAGGTGTTATTGAATATTGTTGGTGACATTTTGTGGTAGCAAAGAATTAGAAACAAAGTAGTGCCTGTCAGTTAACAAATGGCTAAATTATGGTACATAAATGTAATAGAATATTGCTACACTGATGAAGAATTCAGAGAAGGGAAAGGGTGGAGACACATAAATTGATGCAGAATGAGATAAGCAGAACCAGAAAAACATTATATGCAATGAATGTAACGATGGAAATGGAAATGAATGCTGTATAATTATAATTACTATGGTTGGCCCAAGAGAAGAGATAAGAAATTGAACCTCTACTCCCTTCTTTGCCAAGATATAGGGACGATGATGTGGAATAGCTTATATATTATCTGACTTTCGTGATGTTGTCATTGATTTTGCAGAACATTTTTTTTTCTCTTTTTAAATAGCAGAGCCAGGATCAAATCCAATCTTAATGAAAATTCTGGGTGAGCAGAGGGAGGAGGTATATCTATTATATATCTATATTTATGTCTGGAAATAATATAAAAACAAAAGTCACTAAAAATTTTGAAGAATAGTATTGATGAGAGTAGCATGAGAGGTAGATAGTGAACTGGCCTTGGAGTTAAGGAAGACTTGGTTCAACTTAGATCCTTCAGTCCTACTGGCTGTGTGACCTTAGTCAGGGACTTGACCTGTCAGTCACAGGAGGTTCTCTTAAGAGTATAGTTGCAAAGCAGGTGCTGATCTGCATCATTAGAAGGAACTTTGTTATTAATAGTTCCATAAACCAGTGAAATCACAGATTTAGTACATTTGTGTATGTATATACATACATGCATATATGCGTAACTATATGTGTATGTATATATAATAGCAGTTATATATAATGTATATAATTAGAGAATGTTTAATATGTATATAATAATGTATAGAGTTAGAGAAACAGGCTGGTTTAACAGCAATTACATATAATGTGTATATTATATGTAATTGCTGTTAAACCAGCCTGTTTCTCTAATTCCTCCAGCTCCTTTGGGAGTATGCTTTTCTCCCCATGTTTTTGGCTGTTTTTTCCATTTGGGAGTGAGAGGTGGGATCCTGCCATCTTGTATTTATATAGCCCGTTCACATGTTCATCTGAATCTAGAGTTGTTGGGGTTTTTTATTATAAAAAAGATTTAATATGTTCCTTCCAATTCTTTTACAGTCACAGGTTTATCCAAGCTAGTCCCTTCCAAACATCGCTTTGGTGATTGCTGGCAACCAAAGAGTCAAGCCAAGAAACCTTCCCAACACTCCCACCTCCAGGAAACCCTTATCTTTCCCATTCCTTGCCTTTCTCAAATCTTCAAACATTGATTTTCATCCATTTTCTTATATTATCTGTATTCTCTTGTCCTATTTTTATTTGTATTTTATGCCATCTTTGGGTAGCTTTAACTTGTCTTTCCTGGCTTCTTTTGAGCTTTCTCTTTGCATTTCCCCTTGCTTTCTGCCCCTGCCACTTATCTCTCCCCAGGGTTTTTACTTCTTATAGATACTCTTGGAAGCCTTCCATACCAAACCTATTTTCTTCTTTGTTCCTTTCCTCAATTTTTCTAGCACCCTGGCATCTCCAAATGGGACAGTGCCTGCTTGGGTTTCTCTGGTGACATTGCAGCAAGTCCCCCAGGCTCAGCCCCCCACCATCCTTGGTGGTTCATCTCCTTCCTAAGATATACCACTTGTACAGTTGAAACTCTTATTGTTTCCATTTTACAGCTAAGGAAACTAAGACCCAGATAAGTGATTTGCAGAAGATCACATACATAGCCAGCTAATGGTAGAGTTGTTCTTCTGATTTCTAGTCCAACACCATAATGCCTAAGTGATAGAATATTTACAGAATCATTCTTAAAGAATATGATTTCACCTAACTCTCCTCACTTGCTGAAACCTGAGCTAACATCAGGACATGTTGTTCTTTTTGCTTGATTAAAATTGAACACTCACAATATCATTTATTTAGAATTACAGGCTTCTAGAGCTGGTAGGAACCTTAAAGATGCAGGCTGTGGTAATGGAAAGAGCTGTGAATTTTGGAGTCAGATAACTTGGATTTTAATACTGGCTCTGCTGTTTGATATCTATGAACTTGGGCAAATCACCTAATCTCTCTGGGCCTCAGTTTCTGTATCTGTTAAATGAAAGGATTTGACTAGATTGTCTTTAAGGCGCCTCCGAACTCTAAATACTGGCCCAGTTCCCTAATTTTATGGATGAGGAAACATGCCACACTCAAGCTGACATTACTAAGTCTTTCCTCCTCTCTCTGATGGTTTCTTGAACTGAGAATCTTTGTCTCTAACTTTGAAGATAGAAAAAACATGGTTTCTAGATATTTCAAAAACAACAGAAGGTATTTTTTTAAAAATATATTTTCTGTATCTTTGTAGCACTAACCATATAATCACAATTTTATTGAGAGAGGAATTTGGAGCTTTAAAAAAATTTTTTTTGCTTTAATTCAAATAGTGAATGTAAAAAAAGCCATCCATTCATTTGGGTCAGAACTAATGAGGTTATGAAGCCAGCACCATGGCAAATTGGAAATTTTGTCATTTCCATAGGTTCAAACCTGACTTTGGGTTGCATTATGAGATGTATACAGACCATTTGGATTCCCTGCTCTCTCTCCTGACTGCTGAGCTTAGAGTCATTTGCCTCTTATTAGGGTGGTCATAGGGGTAATTCCTTTGTTGGGCGATCTACTTTGTCTTCAGCCCAAATGTCCTACCTGTACCAGGGCAAGAGTATGTCTGAGCTTGAAATTACCTCCATCCCAAATACAGAAAACATAGATGATCTAATCTAAAAGAGAGTTTGCTACCCCATTGATCCCATTCCTACCTTCCCCTGCCAAGCCTCAGCCATATTCAGAAAGAACTGAGGATGGCAGTTTGTGGATGCATTGAGGACAAAAACGTTTTTGTTTGCCCAAGAGTATATCAGTGTTTAAATAGAGCTGGCGGAAACATAGGCACACTGTATCAGTAGCTTATCGGGGCCCAGGTTTTTCCATGTACATTTACCAATCACTTGAGTTTACCCAGCTACATCAGGGTGAACTTAGAAATTTCACATGCATCACCTGGTTGGGCTACTCTAATTTTTCTGAGTAGGAAACCATGCTTTAGAAACTGCTATGGGAACCGGACATTTATTGAACTACTGGGGTGTGGTATCCTTCAGTTTATTGCATTCCACCCAAATGGGTAGAATTATAAAATTGTGATAAACTCTTTATGAATGTACATGTAAAGAGAATCAACACTTGGCTTGGATCTACCCTTGTGGGACAGGCTAACCATGGGCCCTCACTGGAGGAGATCTGGTGAGGGAAGACTGTCACCCTTGTTTCCCTGTTCATTTGCATTTTATCTTCCAGAGTGAACTCAGTTTTGTCAGAGCTGATTTCCTGGTGCAAAACATGTTTAAGAGTTCTGTAACATTTGCCTTTCTCTTTTTAAGTAATTGTCCTTGGTGACAAATAAGCATTTATAAAGAAGGGAAACCTTGCTGAGAGATGGATAAGGTTTGTTGATCGATAAGGAGATACCTTGAATCTGTATGCCGGTTGTAAACTCTTCAGATTGCTTTTACATCCATTATCTTATTTGATCATCAGTAGGCCC